ATGTACACATATATACATACAGAATTATTGATATATTTTACTATCTCTTCATTGATTATTGATAACTTTTTGATACACGCGCTCACACGCACACACTGCTACTGCTACTGCTACTGCTACTGCTACTGCTACTGCTACTGCTACTGCTACTGCTACTGCTACTGCTACTGCTACTGCTACTGCTACTGCTACTGCTACTGCTACTGCTACTGCTACTGCTACTGCTACTGCTACTGCTACTGCTACTGCTACTGCTACTGCTACTGCTACTGCAGATTATCAACAATAATAAAAAGAAGAAAAAGAAGAAGATTTTATGATATATAGATGTCAAATATAGATATCAAATTTTATAAGATAAAAGTAACATATATAGTTTATTTCTAATATTTTTTAGACGAAACAACGAGCTAGTTGGCAGTTGAAAGATAATGGACCGGATAACTCAAATATCTGAACACAAATAACGCGTTGTTACCAACGAAATGTTTGCAAAATATTTAGGTATATTTGATCAATTTGTATAATTAAAATGTGTATGTATATACACAAATTTTTCAAGTTGGAGTTGGAGCTAATCCATTTAACTGAGTTTATGTTCTCGCATATCTATATTTGCCATATCTTTAATTGCAAATTTTAATTATTATTTCTATAATAATAATAATTGTAATAATTGAGTTTACATTTTATATTAAGTCCGAGCTGGCAATTTTAAGTAGCGATTTTTAAAGTAAATCGCATCGTGACGTGTTATTTTTTTTATCGAATAAAAAATCCACTCTACTTTTGTAGGGATGCAGATAGACTTTGATTAAAATACGAATTTTAACTTAACGCTTTCATAAAAAGTAACTCGAAAAAATAAAAATAAAATTATAGATGTAGCTGACTGAGACTATTCACCAAAAAAGGTTGTGTTCCAATAGAGTAGGCTATCTGTAAAGTACTTGCGGTTTCGTCCTTGTACTTATCGTCATGATTAATGTAGAAACATCAGATGTAATAATCTCTGATTTATATCTTGATAGATTATATTGGATTTTATATGAACATCCTAAGTACTTAGAATTAGGAATATAAAAAGAATTATATAAACATTCCTCAAATATCATGATCAATAAATATTATAATTATTAGTTCCCATTGAGATCATGAATATTTTCTAAAATAGATATATATACTCGTTTTATTATGTACAATCTAAAATCTAATTATTCGTAGTATGTTTGACTATAAAAATCAATAATAAATTGGTTACGTTATGCAGAGAATACATTTGGCAGAGAAAGCAGGTCAGTAAGCAGATCAGTGATTCGATCAGTGATTCTTTATTATGATTGGTTTCTACACTTAGATTCAACGAAGATACTAAAGGCAAGGACCAATCATATTGAAAAATCACTGAACGCTCATTAATCTGCTTTCTCTGCTGAACGCAGTCATTATGTAAAATATATTTGCGAATTTATAATTAACATAAAAATATGTCAATCAAATTGTTAAATTGCGTTGTAACAAGCTGGTTGAACTAAATTCACTTTTGCGTCATTAGAATGGTATATTGGACAAAAAAAAGTTATGTACCTAGAATTAGCCTTAAACGATATAATTGAAAAACTCGTATAAATAAGTCACACAAATATTTTATTGTAAATTATTATAAATGAAAGATATATAATTGTTGCATATGTATATTCAATAATAATACATTCAATAAATAGTTTGAGATAGTACAATTCGTCAATATTATTTAAGAATATAAGATTTAACGATGAGATAATGATATATATAATTATAATTACATGTTTTGTTTCTATGAGACAGTCGGATAGCCAATAGGTTCCGAGCGATAATGAATGAAATAATTTCGTTTAGACCATTCACCGTGATGATGACGCGTTTTGTGTCGCGGTAATTTACTTACTTCAATAGATGTTCTTTTGACATTTTCTTCCATTTGTCTGTTGCCATCATTTTGGTTGTCATTAGTGATCTTTTGATGAATGATATTATCACCATAAGTTCGTGGTGTAGACTTGTCAATCGTTTTTTCAGTTTGTTCATCGAGCCGCGGAGACGTTAGTTTCTTGAAAAATGTATATCTAATCAATTGAGGCCGCGGTTGAAAAATGTTCTCCGGAGGTAACGAGTCGGAGATTATGTCAACCAACGGCGGGATATCATCAGTTTGCATTTTACTGACACTCATTCCATTCGTCATTGTATTTCCTCTAGTCCTGTCGATTCTTTTGAAATATACTGAACCTTGTTTTGCATCATGTGTTTCCAATTTTCGAAAAGGTAACAATTTCTCGATATTTGATTGTTTCGACACATCGAATGATTGACGATTTACTGGAAATGTGTAACTACCATCTTTCTTATCTTTGCGACTTCCTCGAGAATATATATTCAACTGAGGCATTGATCGATCTCGATGAATGGTACTATCTAGGTATTCCTGAAGAATATTCCAATTATATAGATCATGAGAAATCGCTCTTCTAACAAGCTTGGAAATTTCTTCGATATTCGCAGCTTGCGAATTTTTTTCATTATTAAAACTCGTTGAACGTTTACTACGGAAGGGCATTTGAAAACTCGTTTCCAACATTGTGTTTCGATCAAAGTAGTGTTTCTCTTGGAAAGCGTCGGGATTGTTTGGATAGTACGCTTCATAGAATACCGGTCCCCTGTCCAAGTTATAACTATTTATGTACCTATGGTATGATTCAATACGACACATTAAATAATAGTCGATAGTGATTCGTATCTAATTTTTAGAGGTCTTCGTCATTAAAGAGATTCATTGCAATTATACGATATATACATATCAATGTTGAATTATTATGTCAATGTGATAAGTCATAAATCATTTTGCTCGCGATCATTTTGCACATTAAAATAAATTAATCTGTATACACATCTTTCCGTTTATGTACACACGTATATGATATTGTAAATTGATAAGATTTATCAAAAATTCTTCGATTCATATGAATTAATAAATAATTGTAATCTTAATAAATTATATCTTCTGGATTGGATTTGGAGATTAGATTATAGCGAGAAACAATGAGAAAAAAGTAATTTTTCATATATTTTATCAATCTACACTACTAAACGTGAGTAGTAATATATAACAAATATTATATATAATTTGCTTCGACGTATAATGCGACAATGTATAATGC